GGGGCTTACACCCGAGACACCTTATTGTAGGCTGTCTATGTAGGACTTGTACTTAGTATAGGTTCAATGTAAGAGGTCAGTATTATTGTTTTTTTTAAAAGGTTTAACATAATTAACGTATTATTTTGCACTCGTTTCATATTAATATTAATATTTTTTTTTCACTTGTTGTTACATAAAACCTAATTATTGCAGGTTTGCAATAGTAGTAATTGTAATTGTGTAGAAAATTAAATTGCATCTTTCCTTCCATCTGGGCACAGTATTCTACAAGGGTAATCAACACCAGTTTGTGAGTCTTTGAGTGAAATCGCCTTGCATTTGAAAAAAAGAAGTTGGCTGTGATGGTGATTCGCCACAGCCAACGAGAAGATTACATATGATTTTAAAGTTATTTTAATTTTTATTTGATTTCTTGAAAGTAAATTACAAAAATTGATTAAAATCGTCTACGAAAAATATATAACAACAACAATAAAATAATGCATATATATAAACGCAATTTTTTAAATCTTAAAATCTTAAGTTTGTTTGCTACCATCACCAATTTTTTTTAAAAACTTAAACTTAAATGAGTCTTAGCTAATTTACTTATAGTGTGCTTATAAACTTAAATGATCCTTATTATTATAAAATTTTTCCACCCGCCCACAAAAAAATATTTTTTCTATGTAACAAATTAATTTTGTTTTGCCAAATTTAAAAAATAAAAAAACGAATGAAGAATAGTTGGATTGGTTGAATCGTATTTCAACGTGTTTGATATAAATATATTCGATTTTCCGCTGTTTTCATCGGTAATTTTTTTGATAAACCAAGTATATTCATAAGTTGATAATATCCCGTAAGAAGCATTTAATTTCATCATAAAATCATAAACTTCATTAACATTCTCGTAAAAATCATTTGTTTTTGCATAATAAGAATTCATAATACTATTTTTATCATTCATTGATAATACACGTTTTGATCTCAATGCCAGTACCGCAATAACTTTCTGGTTTTCATCATCATTATCATTATCATCATCATCATTGTGAGAGAGGAAAGGAAAGAAATATATATTTTAAAGTAATATATTAATTAAGTTGATTGGTTGATTTATAT